AAGATGTTGGAATAAAAAGTTTGTTAATTTTCTCCAAAGATTTGACTTCAACAATATTGAAAGTGATAAGTGTGTTTTTGTAGGAAAAGTAGAAGGATTCACCGTGTATTTAGCTCTTTATGTGGATGATGGCCTTTTAATATGTGAAAACATGTGTGCAATAAATGAAGTGCTTAACGTTTTGAAAAATTATTTCAAAATTACTGTTGATGATGCGTGTGATTTTGTAGGCTTAGAAATAGAGCGAGATCGTAAAAATAAGTCTTTGAAAATTACTCAAAAAGGTTATATTAGAAAAATTTTAGAGAAGTTTAATATGAAGGATGCAAAATGTAGTAGTATACCTGCTGAGCCGGGTTTATACCTTTGTAAACCGACCATAAATAAAGACGACACTGAATTTGCGATTATTCCTTACCGCGAAGTAATAGGGTCTCTTTTATTTGCAGCTAGACTTAGTCGACCTGACATTGAATTTGCTGTTAATTATGCCAGCCAATTTCTTGATTGTTACGGTAAACAACATTGGGAATTTATAAAGAAAATTTTGCGTTACTTGAAAGGAACAATAAACTATGGTATAATATTTGGAAACAGTGGGAGCTTAGGTTCGTTAATTGGTTATACTGATTCTGACTATGCTGGGTGCCTTGATACACGAAAATCAAGAAGTGGCTTTGTTTTTATGTTGAATGGAGCACCTGTATCGTGGTCTAGTAAGCGTCAAAGTATAGTTTCTTTGTCTACGGCAGAATCTGAGTATGTAGCCTTATGTTATGGTTCAAAAGAAGCAGTTTGGTTGCGTTGTTTTTTAAACGAATTAAATGTAAAATGTGAAACAGTAAAAATTCTTGTTGACAATCAAGCAGCTATAAAATTGTCGGCGAATTCCGAACATCATAAACGAACAAAACACATTGATGTACGTTTTCATTTCATACGCGATATGATTGATAAGAAACAAATTGAAATTGAATATGTTCAATCGAAAGATCAACTAGCTGACATATTTACTAAACCAATAGCAAAACAGCAATTTTGTTTCTTAAGAACACAATTACGTATATCAGGTCATTAAAAATAAGTGGGAGTGTTGAAAATAATATTTCTATGTATTTTGAATATTGTGTTCTCCTTCATTTTCACTGGTTACCTATTAGCAATGTTGTAGCTGAGGAACCGTATTTTTATTACTCTTGCCACCCTCAAGATCCAGGTATGATTTGTAATTTAGTCTTTAAGAAACCTTCAGCTGAGTAACTGCGTTACTAAAGTTTCTTGTTTAAATCTGTGTACAAATTGTCACGAATACTTTTATATTTAAATAAATCTTACATATTTATTTAACCAATTTATAGTGTTTTATTCTGTGGAAAATATAACCCAACAAAGTGGAATAGAAAAGAAGCTTTTACGAACTCAAAAAAAGAAGACAGAACGATAGACGTGTGTCTTAAATTTTAAAAAAAGGAAGCATCATTGACAAAATACATACTTTAATTTATCAAAAAAAAAAAAAAAAAAAAAAAATTTAGTTATTTTGATTTATCAAAGTGAACTTTTTTAAAGGTGCAAAAAGACTATTTGAATTTCATTTATAAATTGTACAAATTCGTATTGAAAAATATTAAAATTCTCTTAAACAAAAATTTGGATAAATTATTAATATTCTTTAAAATAAAAATTGAGTTTAATAAAAATTCAATTTAATCAAAATTAAATAAAAATTCAATTTAATCAAAATTAAATAAAAATTTAATTAAATAAAAAATGATAATAAATGAAAATTTAACCAAAAAGAGTCATAAAAAATACGATTCTATAAAAATTTAATTGAGAATTCCTTTAAATAGAAATTCGACTAAAAAAATTTAGCTGAAAGAAAATTCTAATAATGATGTAATAAAATTTTTGTTAAAAATTCCAATCAATTAATTTTTATGCGCCCTCTAATATAAATATTTTGATTTCAGGATAATCAGTGGAAAATCTAACGATAAACTCATGACATATAATTATCTTGATTTCTCCTACGACAGTAATCGTAAAAAAAAAAAATATCTAAATTCCAAAAAAGGACATCGAGATAAACCGAAGAATATAAATTATATATAAATATGTGGAAAATGTTATCCCAGTGGATTATATATATCTTTTTGAACTAAATAAATACAAGATGCAAAATGGCAACGAGAGGAAATTGGAGAAGAAAACGTAACATTATTAAAGGCCTTTGAAAAGTCAAAGAAGAGGAATTTGTAAAAATGTAAAACGTTCAGATCTTAAAAAAAAAAAAAAAAAAAAGAAGAGGCAAAAATCGGTAGTATGTGTGGATCAAAAGAGTGGCGCGGTATCTTAATAGATACTAATGTTGCCAGGGGTAAGAGACGACACGTGCCACTTGTGCTCAGTCTTATCGAAAAAACAAGCCGGTTAACAGTGTCGGCAGCCAGATCAATTCGATTAGATTCTCGTTCCCAAAAAACATCTTTAATAGCACTACTTCCGTTAATTAAAGAAAAAAAAAATAACAAACTGATTTTATTTTCTTTTTTTAACTCCATTTTCATTCAGGTATTTTTTTTTCCAAATTAATTATTTTTATTGAAAATTTTTTTTACACTTTTTTCATAATTCTAAATAGTCATTAAAATATTTATAAATATATTATATATTAGGAATAATTATTTATAAATATTTTTTTTTAATTTTAATTTTTTCTAATAAAATTTCTAAAATTTCAAAAAAAATATTTATTTACTTAAATGTAAATAATTTTAGATTCTAATGTGACAAAAAAATGTAAATATTGAACGATTAAAATTTCACTGGACCGTCTCTTTAATTTTTGATTTTTTTTTTTCTAAAGATCACATCATTTTTTTTTAAAGTTGAAAAAAGAATTAGAGAAAAATTTAATTAATTAACAGTAGCTGAAATATAATGGCTTCCATATATATATAAATAAAAAAGAGAAATTTAAAGAATGCGAGGACAATTAATTACATTCTTGTGTGCGCGATGCAAAACTGACATTTAGTTAAAATATCTTTTTACAAGCGCGCGACATTCTTAGAAAGTCTCGTCTAAAAAGGATTTATGAATCTGCTAACATAACGAAATTGCGATTTCTCGATCCGATATATTCGAAATTAATCTATTAATGTCAAAATTTACATGATGTAAAAACACGAACACAGAAAAAAAAACAAGATAAAAAGAAATAAACATTGATTGTAATAAAAAAAAAAATTCAGTTTGAAAAAAAATTACTCTTGTAGAAAAAGATAAATGAACGAAAATACAGTTCTTTACAAATTTAATACATATTAATTAAATATATATAATATTTAATTTATTATTAAAATAATAAATAAATAGTAAAATAAAGAATGTAAAATAAATTAATTAATTTTAATTCACAATTATAATTTTTTACTTTTAAATCTATTATTATTTTACTTTTTATTTATTTATCGTTTTTTTAAATAACGATTTTGTAGGATTTTTTTAAAAAAAATTTTTCACGAACGATAATTATTTAAAGTCTATTTTTTTCCGAATAGAAAATGTCAGTTTTTCTTTTTTACCAAAGAAATATTGTTTAACTTCGTTTATAAGATCGTAAAATGTTTATATGTAGCAACGGAAGCTTCTTTTTAGCTGCTTCTTGTTACATTTTGTCAACTCTATATAGACCAAAAAGAAAAAAAAAAAGAGCGACGGAGGTAGTGCCTTTAGCATTCGGTTCTCTTTATGGGATATGAAATTCACGTTCCCTCAGGAATCTCCTTATTTCCTTGCGAAATGGGTCTTATATACCGCATATATGGAAATTTCCTTTTTATTTTCTGATAATCCCTTTCCATTCCGGTTGCAAAAAAAAATTTACAAAATTCAAACACACACACAAATTTTAACAAATCAAAAAGATAAGATATTAGTTTCCAAAAAAAAATACAATTCCCATTTTTTCGAAATTTACCTTTTTTTGAATTTTAAGGGGAGATATCACTAAAATTTTAATCAATTCAAATTTTTTCTAGAATTATATAAAAATTTGTTAACTAATAAAATATTTGTTTTCAAATTTTTAAGAATAATTTTCTACTCTCAATAATGTCGAAAAATAAATTAACATCAGAAAAAAACGAAAATTCCACTGGTACTTTAATTTTCTAATTGAAATAAATTTTTGAATCAAAATTTCGAAAAACGATAGAACTGGCGATATTTTATTTTATTTAAGAAATAAAAGTATCACCATTTCTTGTTTTTTTCGAAACATTTTGCCTTTTTTGATTTAAATATTTTATTTCCAAAAAAATATTTGGCATTAAATTTCGAAAAACAATAGAACGACTTTATTTTATTTAAAAATATTACAAAATAAAAGTCCCATTTTTTCCAAAACTTTTCGCCTTTTTTAATTTAAAAATTTTTAATTCAAATTTCAAATTAAATTCCAGAAAATTTCTTTGAATTAAAATTTAAAAATTAAAATTTCGTTAAATCACAGAGCCTTGAAGAATCAAAAAAAGATGATTTATAATTTTTTTGTTTTTCTCATTTTCTCATCAGAGAGTATGGAACTAACGGATTTTTTCTTCGATTGTGATCGCGATTTGAGAAAAAAAAATATGAAATGGCCCCTGTCGGATCATCGTTTAGGACAATATTTCTGCATTTGTATATGTATATACAATATCTATATACATATATATACATATAGTCAATAAATGGATGATGATTTGAGGTCAAATTGGTATATGTGTGTGATCAATCAAACTCTGCGGGCTGACAGTATAACCCTCCCCTCCCCTCACCCCCTCTATGCCATACCAGAATCTGGTCAGTTTGAAGAGCTATTATTGCCACCCACGTTGAATCCCGCATACCATTGTAGATACACAATGTCTCCTTCCATCGTTACACTCGTTGAGACAAAAATCAAACAATCTTAAACTCAATTTTAAAATCCTTATCAAGATTCCACTTACGAAACAGGCGAAACTGATTTTAGCTGCAGATGCAAGTCACGATATTGGGTTTTTATATATGTACGCAGCGGTGAGTAAGAGAGTTGACTTTTCGATCTTCGATGAGAATATACTTCAAATCTTCCTCACGTTACCGTCGAGAAATTGCTCCACAATTTGAATCTGAAAATATATATATTTTTTTTTTAGTCAAATATTACAAAGTGCTCCATTTTACTCTCGATATTTACAAAATTATACCTTTTTTTTCTATAAACAAGAAACAATTCTACTATGTCAAAAAGAGTAAATTATACTTAAGAAATATATTTTTTTATTTTTAAATTAACAATTTTTTTTTTTTTATTTGGCATTCTATTTAAACGAATATTTTTTATTACAAATTATGAAATTTTTTTTAACCAAATTTTTTTTGTCACGATGCTAAAATATACGCAACGTTTATAATCAACGATTAGAAATTAATTTTTTATTTAACGTGGAAAATTAGAAAATTGTTTACCTAAAGAAATATTGTTTTTTATAATTTATTAAAAATTAGAAAAAATATTTTACAGGTAAAAAAAAAATTATAGAATTTTTCATTCTAAAAAAAATTTCTTTAAAAAATCTTTTATCATAAACTTACGTATATACTTTATAGTATTGTTTTAATGTCATATTTTCTACACTGAGAAAAAAGGTATCCATTTATTCAATAAAATATTTATTTATTTTCATCCACTAATTTTATTGATTCAAAAAAAATTTATTTCAAACTAGTAAAATTTTCTTGGATCAAGAAAATATTGAGTAAATGCATTTTCTTAAATATACTATTTTTTTTAGTAGTTCATATTAAATTTTGATTAAATAGAATTTTTCTAATCAGTGAAAAATTGGAAATTATTAATTGGGAAAATATAAAATTATTATTATTATAGGTACGAAATCGTATAATTTTTTAATTTTCAATTAAATTAATTAAATTTTTAAAATTGTAAATTATATTAAAAATACAAAATTGTAATTTTTAATTTTCAAATAAATTATAATTAAGCCAAGAAATTAATGAAATGAATCTGCATAAATTCAATATAATTTTAAATTAAAAGAATTTTTATAATCAATTTTTTTTCACATATATAGTTTCTAGTTATTCGAATTTTTAAACTAAAACAAAAAAAAATCACTTGTATCGAATTTTTATTCAACAAGAGAAAATTCTATCAAATGAAAATTTCATAAAAAATAATAATTCTATTTAAAGAAAATTCAATTAAATGAAAGTTCCCGTGTAATTATAAATTCTGCTAAATGTGTATATTCGGTCAAATAAAATAAAATCAAATGTGAATTCAATTTTAATAAAAATACAATTAAATGAAATAACAAATAAAAAGTTAATTAAATGCAAAATTCAATTAAATACAAATTTTTTCATATAGAAATTCTATTTTAATAAGAATTTTGCTAAATAATAATTTTTTTTTGGCATAAAAAATTGATTCAATGTAGAAAATGGACTTTATAGAAAATTCGATTAAATAAAAAACTTTAATCAACTAAGAATTCGGTTAAAAGAAGAATTCGTTTATAATAAAAATTGTATTGTTATGAAAATAATTCAATTAAATATAAAGTCAACTTGATAAAATTCCATTAAATAGAAATTCTGTTAAATAAAGATTTGGCTAAATAATTATTTTTTGAGGATAAAACTTCAGTTCAATATATGTATAAATTGTAATTTCTATAAAATTCGATTAAAAATATAGAAATAAATAATAATTCTACTAAATAAAAATTCGATTAAAAAAAAAAATCGTTTATAATAAAATAATATTTTATTATGAAAATTCAATTAAATATAAATTTGTCAACATTATAAAAATTCAATTAAATAGAAATTCGATTTTATTAATTAATTTATAAAAAAAACACTTAATTTTCGAACTATAATATTTTTTTTATAGAATATTCACGCGTTTTAAAAAAAATATATTTTCTTTTTTGGTAAGAAAATGGCGAAATTTGTTTCTTTTTTCTTTTATAAAATGGTTATCGAGACCAGAAGAAGACGGTCCTGTAATGGAGGGTGGCACGAGAATGTACGGAGGGCAGCAATCACTGTGAGTGGGCGACACACGCGTAGGTTATCAGCCTGATGAGGCTGCAGAGAGGCTGTGCAGAAAAGAGACCTGAGGGCAAATGGGGAAGAATCCAGACAAGCTATAGATATATATATATATACCAAGAGTGGGTGTTTATCAAAAAGCTTATATATATATCCTCCTCCATCGCATCAACACAAAAGACTCTCTTCTTACATTTATAATATAAAAATATTTACAATTATTTTTTACAATCCAGTATTTTAATTTTTATATTTATCGTATTTAAAAAAAAAAAAAAAAAATTTCCCATTAAAAAAACTGTTTCCACTTTTGAAATAAAACAACAACAAAAAACTATTAAATTTGCATTAAATGAAAATAACAACTATTTTGCAAGTATTTAAAAATTTCGCTAAATGGAAATTCTACTAACTTTTAATTATTTTTTTCACCTAAACTTTCGTAAACAAAAATTACTAGTAATATAGTGAAAATTTATACTAATTTGAATTAGTAAACGAATTCTAATTCAAATTTAGTTAATTTAGTCTATTTCAATAGTTATAAATTATAAATAATTCGAGAAATAAATGAAATTTCTAAATAGAAATTCTGCTAAATCGATTATAAATTAGAAAATCGGATCTTTTTTTAAGGAAAAATTGAAAAATATAAAAAAAAAACAAAAGGCGCGTTTAATATTCTCTCAAGATTTTTTTTTTCAAAGGGACGTCGGTCACTTTATAGATATTTTCCCTTGGCATACGACGCGCAGGTTTTTGATAACTTTTAGCTTGGAAATCGCCATATACCCGGCAAGCTTCATTTTAATACAAATTGTTTCAGCTCAACTCTATATACGAGGCTACCACATGTCGCATCGAAATCCTACCAAAACCACCGTGTCGTCATTATTATTATATAACCCTCTGCCCAGGCCCTAGAGAGAAAGACAAAAAGGACGAAAGCAAAATACATATAGGGAAATACACAACATATTTGAATGTATTCAGTTATACACTCACCAAAACCTTCCTCTCTTCATCTTTTCCCCTCCTTTAAAATGACCCATATAAAAGCGCTACTGAACGTCACATGGCGCCCTTTTGCAAAGAGAACAATCTCTTTAGAAAGAGAGAGAGAGAGAAAATACAGATTTACTGCTTCCTAATCGCGTGCGGCCACCGACAAATTGACTTTTCAAATCTGAAAAAAAAAGAAAGAAAAATCATTTCATTTGAAAACAAATACAATTTCTTTTTGAAATATTTAATATACTATTTTTTTTTTTTTAATTTCATTTTATAAGTATATATATATATTATTTAATTCTGCACGATTTAGATTTACGATTTTTTTTTTTTTTTATCAATTGTGCTATTTATTTTATTCATTTAATGAAAAAAAAAAATTTATTTGATTCAAATAATCCGTTGATTACCAAATAAAAATTTACTTGAACCAAATAATTTTTGAAAACAAATAAATACTATTAAATAAACTATTTTTGAATCAATAATTTTTGTATTTTAAACAAATGTGACTCAAAAATAATTAATACAAAAAAATATTTATTTCTATTTAAGTAACCGATTATTTGAATCAAAAAAAAAAATTTTTTTAGTGTATTAAATTATTTTTTCTATTTTATTAAATTAAATCCTAATTAATCTTTTTATATTTTTTATCTATTGCTTTACTATTATTATTATTATTATTATTATTACTATTCTTATTATTTTTTTTTTAAACAGCGAAATTGTAAATTCGTTACAGCGCGTAAAAATGCTTAAATATTACGAATATTTATATAAAAAAAAAGAATACTAGAAATCCTAATTTTTCCATTTTTTATTTACATTTATTTTATTTATTATCTATTTTATTATTACTATTATTATTTATTCTTTTAACAGAAAATTTAAAATTCGTTTCCGCGGATATAAAAATGCTTATATATTACGAATATTTATAAAAAAAAATACAAGAAATCATAATTTTTCCTTTTTTTTTATCTATATTGTATTATTACTATTAATATTTATTTTTTTAACAGTAAATTTGAAATTTGTTTCCAGGGATAAAAATAAAAAAATTTAAATTATTTTTCGAATATTTATAAAAAAAAAAATACTAGAAATCCTAATTTTTCCTTTTTTATTTTCTTATTTTTTTTATCTATTGTATTATTACTATTAATATTTTTTTTTTAAACAGAGAAAAATCGAAAATTTGTTTCCGAAGATAAAAATGTTTATATTTTACAAATATCTAAAAAAAAAAATACTAGAAAACTTAATTTTTCTTCTCTTCTTTATCCATTGTATTATTACAAATTATTTACTTTTTTAACAGAAAATTTGAAATTCGTTTCCGCGGATAAAAATTTTATTACGAATATTTATAAAAAATACTAGAAATAATAATTTTTCTTTTTTTAATTTTTTTTTCTCTATATATAGTATTATTAATTTTTTTTTAACAGAAAAATTGAAAAATCGTTTCCGCGCCTAAATTGTTTATATTACGAAAATCTATAAAAAAAAATACTGTGACCGTAAACACATTTTTTAAATTTTTAAAAAAATTACTATAAACTATTCAAAAATATATTTAAAAAAAACGAAATAGTGGAAGATTTCTAATTAATAAAATATAATTAATATAATATAACAGAAAATACTTCTTGTTTTTGTTATTTTATATTTTAATTTTCTATATTACATTATATTACCATTTTTATTTACTGTTAGTTTTTTTTTACACTGACAAAAAAATTTATTTCATTCAAATAAACGATTACTTGATTATTGTCAAATAAATATTTATTTGTATCAAATAATTATAATTTGTTGTCAATTAAATGGTATATTTATTTCAAATACAAAAATTATTGGTTCAAAAACAGTTTATTTAATTTAAATAAAAATTATTTGGTTATATTTATTTGATAATAGTCAAGTAATCAAGTATTTGAATCAAATATAAATTTTTTTTTTCAATGTAAGTTTGCGAGAAAAAAAAATTGTAAATCCTTGTAATAAATATAAAAAATGGAAAAAATAAATCTAAATTCAATAATAATCGAAAATCTAATTTTAATTCCCCAAAAAACAGCTTGAAAATTGACTTTAAAATCGACTTCGAATAAAAATTAATTATATATCAATACTGTAAATTTTTTTTTTCTGAAATATTCAAATGAAAATCGCGTTCCAAAAAATGATTTAAAAATACTTGTAAACTAAGCCCTGCCGCGAGTTGATTAATTGTTGTTGCAGGCGGTCTGTCATTACAGCTTTAACGAGGAGTCATTAACCAATATATATACATATATTTGAATCAAATACAAACAGAGAACCCGTCGATGGTCGCACAATTAAATTTCCCGGGGGTTGGCATTAGGGGTGCAAGTACCACGACTCTAAAAAAAGGGGGAGATGAATCTCGGCTATGGTTCGTTTGTCCCTAAAGCTCTTTGGAAAAAAAAGGAAGAAAACGAAAAAAAAAAAAAACACTGGAGGGTGGAAGAAAATAAAACCAAGGAGACATTATTCGATGGAAAAGAAGAAGCTTTCTCCTGGAGAAAAGAAAATGGAGAAAAGAAAGAGAAAAATAAAAAAAGAGAAAAAAGAAAAGAGATAAAATGAAGAAAAGAGAAGAAAATAGAAGAAATGAGAAAGAAAAGAAACGAAAAAAAAGAGAAAAAGGAAAAAAAAAAAGTAGAATCAGAGAAAATAAAAGCAGATTAAACCCTTCGGTCCCGTGAGATCCTTTAAGGCAGCGTGCCTGATGCGCATAATAGAGAAATGATTTGATTAAAATGTAAAGAAGCTCGAGCCTTCTGTTTGCGCATTTCACGGTTCGCCTGTAAAAAGCTCCGGGCACGCGTTAGACAGATGGTATTCGCCGCACTCAATGGCCTGAGAAATTGGATCGCGTTTTAACTCCCTTACGTTTCAACTCTCGCGGTATACATATATACACCAATGTATATAAAATGTCACGTACTGAACAATTTCGTTTTAACCTTACGGATGAATCTTTGCATTACAAGAATACCGAATCATCTTCACCGCCTAATATAAGCAAAAAAGGGAGCTGAATATATATATAATTCTTTTCCTTTCTCTAATAATAATTTTTTTTCCAAAATAATTCACAACAATTTTCTCTAATTATATTTCAACCACGAATTTAATTTAAAAAAAAAAGAAATATTAATAAAAAATTATTTCTTTTTTGATAATTGTTCATATATAACATCATAACTGTTTAAAAGTTCATAAATTTCTTATTATTACTAATTGTAATTATTTTACTCTATATGTAATTATAATATGTAAGTTAATTTGAAGTTTGACACAACAACTTTAAAAATTAACTCACATGATTATTATACAAAAAATAATTACAGTTAATAATTTAAAAAAAAAGTTTTAACTTTAAACAATTATCAACAATTATCAAGAAAGAAATAATTTATTTTTGAAATAATTTTTAAATAATTATTTTAGAAAATCATTGTGAAATATGAAAATATCTAAAAAGGGCGCATAAGAATCATTAATTAGAATTTTTATTTTAAAGAATTATTCTATTAGAAATTATTATATTTTAGATAAATATATTCATTTTTTGAACTTTTTTTTTAGCATTTAAAAGAATTTTCTTTTTATACGAATTTTTCCTTAACAAAATTATTAACTACCAAAATTTTTGCCGGAATTTTTATTTTACAATTTTTTTTATTTAAAAGAATTTTAATTTAAGCGAATTTTAATTGAACAGAATTTTCATTCAATCGAATTTTATCGACTTAAATTATTTAAATGGCATAAATTTTAATTCATTGAATTTTAATTTATATAAAATTTTTTAAGACACCGAATTTTCATTTGACATTACAAATAATCGAACAAACAAACGACATAGAAATTAACAAAAATTGGCCAATTAGAAATTTTCAAGAAAATCGTGATTTGGTCAATATTTGAAAAATTGTGCCGAAATTTTTCTATCGATTATTTGTTCGGTTATTTTTGTAATTTCAGATAAAAGGCAACATCTGCGTCTTAAAAATTCTATCAATTAAAAATTAGTAGAAATAAAAATTAGGACAAATTAAAATTCAGCATCTTAAAAATTCTATCAATTTAAAATACGTACAAATTAAAATTCGTACAAATAAAAATTAGGACAAATTAAAATTCTGCGTCTTAAAAATTCGTACAAATGAAAATTCGGTGTTTTAAAATTTCTATCAATTAAAAATTCGGACAAATTAAAATTCGGCGTCTTAAAAATTCTATCAATTAAAAATACGTACAAATTAAAATTCGTACAAAATGAAAATTCAACGTCTTAAAAATTCTATCAATTAAAAATTTGGACAAATAAAAATTCTGCGTCTTAAAAATTCGTACAAATGAACATTCGGTGTTTTAAAATTTCTATCATTTAAAAATTCGTACAAATAAAAATTCTATCAATTAAAAATACGTACAAATGAAAATTCAACGTCTTAAAAATTCTATCAATTAAAAATTTGGACAAATAAAAATTCTGCGTCTTAAAAATTCGTACAAATGAACATTCGGTGTTTTAAAATTTCTATCATTTAAAAATTCGTACAAATAAAAATTCTATCAATTAAAAATACGTACAAATGAAAATTCAACGTCTTAAAAATTCTATCAATTAAAAATTCGGACAAATAAAAATTCTATTAATTAAAAAATTCGTACAAATAAAAATTCAGACAAATGAAAATTCGGTGTTTTAAAAATTCTATCAATTAAAAATTCGTACAAATTAAAATTCGGACAAATTAAAATTCGGCGTCTTAAAAATTCGTACAAATAAGAAATCGTATACAAATTAAAATTCCATGAATTATAATTTTTGTCATTTAAAAATTCAATGAAAATTTCTTTCAAATGAAAAGTCATATGAAGAAAATGACTAAAAATAAAAATTTTTCCAAACAAAAATTCGGTAGTTAAAAATTTTGTAATGTAAAAATTTGTGTAAAAAATGAAAATCTACCAAATTTGTAATTCGTAAATTGAAAATTTGTCTAAAAAAAATTATTTCTAATAAAATACTTTAAAATAAAGGTAAACTAAATTTTCTCCCCAATTTGTATATATGTAAATCAAATTTTCATTCTAGAATTTAATATTCAAACGAATTGTGTTCTTTTTCAAAAGAGATAACAAAAAAAAAGGGAAATAGAAGCTCTGGATTCTTTTTTTTCCATATACACACTGTGTATTCGACTTGCCAGAATCAGAAAATTTTAAGTGCGACTTAATCTAAAAAATTATCGTGTTCATATACCGTGATCCGTTTTTTTATAGTCGATTTTATCAAAATGAAGAAAATTAAATGAGTCTGCTTTCTATCATCGGCAAGTTTCCTGTTTATCGAGCGCGTTTTTAGGCTTTTTAGATAAATATAAAACTCACTGAAATAATCGGCACTTGCTGAAGATTGATGGAATCTTGTCTTTCCTCTTCTTGAAGCATTTATATATATATATGTATAAGATGTTTAGCGTTTAATACGATCATTTATCGCACGGTCGTTATATGGGGTCCCTTTTGATCTGCGCCCAGCAGGAATTCGTTTGACTTGTCTTTTGACTTGCAACGAATCACTGGAACATTTTTTAAAGCAATATGTTATAACTCATTTATAAATAGCGTCCAAAATATTCAACAATTTAGACCTGTCATTTAGATATATATAAGAGAAATTAAATATTCAAAAATTAGAATTTTGTTTTGAAAAATTAATAAAGTTTATTTTATTAATTAAAATTAATAAAGAGAGTATTGCTATTGTCACCGAATTTTCTATTTAACAAAATATTTATTTAGCTGAAATTTTATACATTGAAATAATTATTTAGCAAAATTTAACATAATTAATTTTATTTGCCAGACTAACAGAATTTTTATTTAACTAACTATTAATTGAAAATAATTTAGCAAATTTTTTATTTTATTAAATTGGAATTTTTGTAACTTAATTTTTTTCATTAATTATCTAATTGATCAATTTTTTCTATTTTCCAATTTTTAAATTCAAATTATTTTTCTAAGTTCCCAATTTTCTCGAAATATTTATTCGCATCTCTGTCTCTCTATATATATAAGAGAAAAACAATTGGTTTTCATTTTCCGTACGGCGAAAAAGCAAAGTTACATTTTATTTCGGAAATCGAAGCAAATTGGAAGACAGTATCGCACAGTTTCTGATAGAAAGAAATAAAGTATATCAAAGAATTTTATTTTTTATTTTTACTGAAACGAAATCAACTTTTGTGTATTTTCTGCGGAGAAAAAAAAAACTCATGTGTATGTGTGTGTATCTTTGAACAAATAACACACTTTTTTTATTTATATATATATATATATATATATAGTTTCTGTGAGGAAAATTTAGAAATTTTCTAAAAACGATCGAGATTTTCAAATTGAGAATATCTTTATCCAAATATTAGATATATTTAGAAAGAACTCTATTTTTCTTTTATGTTTATTATTCTAATATTCTCATTTATATATTTTTTTTTATTCAAAAAAATTTATTGCAATTTTATATTTTCAAAATATGAGTATTTTATGTCCAATTTTCGTAGCTTGACAAAAATGGAAAATTTTAACAAAAAAAAAAAAAAAAAATTGATCAATTAGAAAATATATTTAAAAAAAAGAAAATTCTGATTACAAATACAAATAAAAATTCGGACAATATAAAAACCGGCGTCTTAAAAATTCGTACAAATTAAAAATCGACGAATTAAAATTTCATGTCATGTAAAATAAAAATTCTATCAAAAATTTGGTGCCTAAAAATTTTGCTATGGAAAAATTCGTATAAAAAATTGAAAATCTACCAAATTTGTAATTCGTAAATTGAAAATTCGTCTTAAAAAACAATTATTTTTAATAAAATAATTTTTACTTCTGTCATTTTTGTAATTTCGGATAAATGAAAATTCGGCGTCTTAAAAATTTGTACAAATAAAAATTCGAACAAATAAAAATTAGGACAAATTAAAATTCTATATCAATTAAATATTTGGACGAATAAAAATTTTGCGTCTTAAAAATTCTATTAATTAAAAATTCGTACAAATAAAAATTAAGACAAATGAAAATTCGGTGTTTTAAAAATTCTATAAATTAAAAATTCGTATACAAATAAAAATTCGCACAAATTAAAATTCTATGAATTATAATTGTCATTTAAAATATCGATTAAAATTTCTTTCTAATGAAAAGTCATGTGAAGAAAATGACTAAAAATAAAAATTTTTCCAAACAAATATTCGATAGTTAAAAATTTTGTTATGTAAAAATTTGTGTAAAAAATGAAAATCTACCAAATTTGTAATTCGTAAATTGAAAATTCGTCTTAAAAAACAAATAATTTTTAATAAAATAATTTTTGCTTCTGTCATTTTTGTAATTTTGGATAAATGAAAATTCGGCGTCTTCAAAATTTTTACAATTAAAAATTCGAACAAACTAAAATTCCGTGAATTAGAATTTTTGTCATTTAAAAATTCAAATTACATAAATTTCCATTATAATTCTATTAAATGAAAAGTCATATAAATTAAATGACTGTAAAATGAAAATTCTGACAAAAATTCGTTGGCTAAAAATTTTGTTTTATGTAAAAAACTCGCATATTAAAAAAAAACCTGCCAAACTTTTAATTCATATAAATTGAAAATTCAAAAAATACATTATTTTCAATAAAATACTTCGAAATAAAAAAAAAAACTCTAATTAATGATTTTTATGGGAAATTCATGTACTAAGATTTTTTTCTCTATTTCAGTAATTTTTTCTATTTTTGAATTAGCAAAAATTTGACACAAATGCGAGAAAATTCCTTACAGTTTAGATTTTGTTTTGTAAATATAATAAAAGTTTATTAAAAATTTTGTTTTTTCGTAATTCAACAATTTGTTTACGAAATTGGGACCAAAAATAATTAGAATTCTCCGTATAAAAATAGGAGAATAGGAGAAAGAGAATATATAATTTAGGGAAATGAAACAAGATCAGATCATTTTCATCAATTTTGAGCAACGTCGTCCCTCGTGAAAATGTTCCACACTATCGAGAGATAGAGAGAAAGAGTAGTGGGAGAGTGCGAAACGAGTGGTGTGTCGGTACGTGAAAGGGGGTGTTTTTAGGGATGGTTTCGACGCGAAATTGGTTGGTATAGTACACTAGTGATACCAGAGAATATACCAGAGAAGGGAAGTTTTAAGGGGGTCGATAAAGTAGCGATCGCGCACGGGACTCAATTACACGCTCCGGCGCTCTCTCCAACTCTCTCTCTCTCTCTCTTTCCCCCCTTTATTTCTTTCTCTCACTTTCTCTCTTGTCTCATTTTGAAATATTCTCTCTCTGTCTCACACAGACTCTTCTTTCTCGAATCGCACCCCCGATTTCCATCCCTCCTCTTCATCCCCATTTCGAGCACCGTTCAACCTTCCACCCATGGGATCACTAAAAGTACTACTACTACTACTACTACTGCAACTACTCTCTCTCATGCCAGAGGAAATCAGCCAGACAACCCGATGGCAACGTGTGTCTTCTGTCGCGCAAAGCTTCTTGTATGTTAGCCCTCGAGAAAATTCAACATCACACTTTCACACGAATTTCAAAAGTGGAGTATCTCCTCACATCACAAGAACATTTTTTTTTTTTCATTTCTCTTTCTCTCATTGAAAATGACATTTTTTTTCAGGAAAAAGAAAAATCACTTCATCCTTTTTCTTCTGTGAGAACGACTATATTGCAAAAAATTTTCATTAAAAAGAGAGAAAAGACTTTTATTCTAATTATCAGAATTTATCAGAACTAAAAAAAATGTTTAATTTTAATATTTTTTATCACCGAATTTTCTATTTAATTTTATTCTATTCAACAGAATATTTAAAATTGAAAATTATTGAAATAATTACACTGAAAAAAAAATTTATTTGACTCAAATACTCAATTACTTGCGACTATTATCAAATAAATATTTACTTGTACCAAATAAATTTTATTTAAATTAAATAAATTGTATTTGAACCACTAATTTCTGTATTTGAAAAAAATACCATCTCAAATGATAATTATTTAATACAAATAAATATAATTATTTGATAATTGTAATCGTGTATTTCAAACAAATAAATTTTTTTCCAGTGTATTTAACAGAATTTAAAATATTTAATTCAGACTAAGAGAATTTTTTATTTAACTAACTATTAATTGAAAATAATTTAGTTTTTGTATTTTACCGAATTTTCATTTATTATTGAATTTCTGGTTCAACTTTATTTTTATTGAAACTGAATTTTTATAAAATTCAGAAATTCAATTAGCAACAATTTTTTAAAACGCACGTTTTCTATAAAAAATAAATTTTTATTTAACAGAATTTTAATTAAGGGCACTTTTTATTTTTAGCATTTTTTAAATAATATTTAGCATAATTCTCATTCAATAGAATTTTAAGTGTTTCGAATTTTTCAGAATTTTTATATCCTAGAATTTCCAATTCACCGAATTTTTATTTGTCCGAATTATTATATTTGATAAAATTCACAAAACGGCGAATTTTCATTTATCCAAAATTGCAAATTACCAAATAAATTGACAAAAAGATTTCGGCGATGTTTTAAAAATTTATCAATCATACGATTTTCTTGCGATATAATTTCGAATTTAAAATTTTTAAAATCGCGTCGAAATTTTTTTATTAATTGCATATATATTCGGATCTTTGCAATTTCAGATAAATGAATAAACTTCGTTTTTAAGAATTATATCGAATAAAAATTCGTGCAAATAAAAATTCGAACAAATGAAGATTCTGTGAATTAAAAATTTTTACATTTCAAAATTCCTATGACTTAAAATGTTGAATGAAAATTATATTAATTTAATATTTGGTTAAAATAATAGTTATAATTTAATAGTTATTTGGTTAAATTAGAATTTTTTAAAATAAAAACTTGGGTAAAAATAAATGTTGTGAATTAAAAATTCTACCAAATAAAAGTTCCGGTATCTAAAAATTTTATAAAAAAGAATATACGTTAAAGGCTAATTCGAAAAATGAAAATTCGTCTAAAAATTTAATTATGTGTAATAAAATTCTTTTAATTAAAATATTTCTTCATATTTTTATAGACTGAAAATTTACCTCGCAATGGATTAGTCTTCGAAATATATATTATATATTTCTTTTTTCTCTTCAGCAAAATTTTCGTCTCTTTTATCGAATATAGCGCCATTCGGATCATAATTTTTCCACGATAATCCGCAGACATTTAAAACTCCAAAATCCATAGTCATCATTCTCGTAAACTCTATGTAAATTTCCTGTAGAAAATAACATTAATTAGCAATAATAATAATAAACAAATTTAAAATAATCACCTAGTCTTAAAATTAAAATTCAAAAAATGAAATTTAAAAAACCACAATTTTAAAAAAACATAAATTAAACAAATATAATAATTATATTTGTTTTTTAATTTGTTTTTTTAAAATTGTGATTTTTTAAATTATTAAATTGAAAAATAAGAAAAATGATGTGAATTAAAAACATATATTTGAAAATTGAAAAAAAATTAAACTTCAAACTAAATAAAATTCTAGTTAACAAAAATTATTACACCTTTTAAATATCGTGGGTTAAAGAGTGTAAACAATTTTTTTTTCTATTTCTCTAGTGGCTTTTTAACTTTATAATATAATATATATGTATATATATTCATCATATGACAACATTTGCATCATATAACAGCCCTTGGGGTGTGTTTTCAGAAACGAGATGCTTATCGAAACTATTTTTTTAGATTAAAATAACTGAGTCGTGTCGAATTATGAAACACATTAATTTTCTAAATCACTGGGACCATGAAAATTCAGATAAAAACATCAAGGGCGTTTTTTTCTATAAATAAAAAATATATATAACACTACCCTAAATTTTTCAAATAAATAAAATAAACAAAAAAAAAAGAAAATAAATAAAAATTATCTATTTATTATACTCTATTTTTTTTATTACTACAATTATTGTTATAATAATAAATAAATAAATCTGTAGAAAAAATAAAATCACTATAATTTTATTATTATTACAATTATTATAAATTATAATTAATATAACAATAAAAATGATAGAATATAATAAAAATTGTAAAAATAATAATAGAATACTTTTTTTTTTTGGATATTTGTTCGATAAATATTTTCGAATCTTCACCGTTTTTATCGCTGCATATATAAGGGAAGATCGTAGGGAATTTCAAAATTAAAATGAATATACATATATGCAGAGAACTGTTAGGTTCATTAGACGATGAATTAGTAAAGATGGTTTAGGGAATTAATTATCCGCAATCCGTCTTCCAACATAGTCGTCGAAATTAATTCAATAGCTCTACAGATATCGACTTTGAATGTCGCCATATTCAACGTAAGGAAGTTAATCTCGTTGAGGAATTATAGATTGCCTCCAAGACGATTAGTAACGTCGTCATTTATACATAAATATATATATATATATATATATATATATGTATATAGAATCAATGTGTCTTCGCTCTCTGATTTAGATTCGGATTTATTTATTTGTTTATTAATTTTACTATTATACAATTTTTCACATATAATCAATTTTTCAAACTTAGAGAAATTTTTCAAATTTTTTTTTTTTTAAATTTGGCTGATTTGAAATATTTTTTTAAACTTATTGATTTTTATTTGACATAGTAACTTTATTAATTTAATTTTTCGAATTTTCAAATTTAGTTAAATAAAAATTCTACTATAAAATATTTAGATTAAGAAGGAATTCGATATAAAAAAAAATATAGAGTAACTTTTACTAGAAAAAATTTCTAAAAAAAAATTCTTCAATTTCAATTTTTGAAATTTTTTGAAGTCTAATTTAAGCAATTTAAAATGCTGGCATACTTTTTAGTTTTAATAGTCAAAAAATTTGTTGGACAAAAATTAAGTTTTACAAATTTTTAAATTAAAGTCAACTAAATAAATATTTTACCAAACGAATAGAAATTCTTTCAATTTAAAAAATCGATTTAATAGAAATTCGATTAAATAACAAAAATCATCCAAATAAAAATCGTTGTTCGAAAATAAAAATTAAATTTAATTGAAAAATTCATTTAATTCTATATCTAAAAGAATTTTTTTAGACAAAATTTTAAAAAAATTTCAACGAATTTTCAATTGAAAATTGAAAAAAAAATTTATTAAACAAAATTTTTACTTAGTAGAATTTTTAGAATATATAATAAATTCTCGTTTAACGAAATTTCGGATTTTTAACTGGCAGAATTTTCATTACACTAAATCTTTATTTGACCGAATTAATTAAACTAATTTGTTAAATATACAATTTTTCATGAATGAAAATTTGACTAAATAAAAATTCTACTAAACGAATAGAAATTCTTTTAATTTAACAAATCGTCTTTAAAAAAATTCCATTAAACAAAAATCTGCCAAATAAAAATCAGCGTTTGAAGTGAAAATTAAATTATAATCAAAAAATTCGATTAAATTGAAAATATGTAAAATTTTAGCATACTTTTTAGTTTTTTTTTTTTTTAATTTTGACAATTATTGAATTTCAAAAAAATTTTAATTTGGAAAATATTGTTCAAGTTAATTGAATTTGTAAAGAAATTCATTAAAATTTTTGAAAAATAATTAATTCAGAGAATAATTGCCTAGGAATTTATCAAGAATCTTTATTTAGATAATATTTCAAAAATTTGATTTTTAAAAAAAAAATTTCAAATCTAATTTCTGCAAATTATTTATGAGTTCAGAATTTTGTCAAATTTTTGAAATTGAAATGATTGAAAAAAATTTAATTTAATTTAATTAATTTAAAACATTAAAAATTCTTAGAAATAATTGAATTTCAAAAGTTTTTAAATTGGAATTTTTTTCTAAAATTTAATTGCTAAATATTTTCTTTACAAATTACAGACAAACGATTTTTAATGAAATAATTAAAAAATATTATTAAATAATTGAATTTTCGAAAAATGTTCATTAAAATTCTTGTAAATAATTCATTTAGAGAAAATTTAATTAAAAATTTGTTAAATAAAAATAAAAATAAGTCGAAAAAAATTGTATTTTCGAAAAAAAATCAGAAAAAATATATAATCCAAGGCCTGCAAATATTAAATAGCAATGAAAAATTTCCTTTTAGAACACGATAAAATAAAACTTATTTCAATGACCAGCTGGCAAATTTTGATTGCCAAATATAAAGCGCGAGCTAAATATCTCGAGTTTATATGGAGAGTGTCGGATAATAATATTTTACATGCCGCGAGGCTAATTGAATGCTACCACGGTAGTTCGTGATCCTTGTGAATCTCAAGGGATTCTCCTGATGGCGCGTATTAGGATAGAGTGAGAGAAAGAGAGGACCAAAGGAGATGACAATAATTAACCAGCGGTTAACTTTACGTCACCCCCTGCAGCTCTCTATCGTACCTGCGATATCCCGCAGAATCAACTTTGAGATACATATAAATATTTTCAATATATAATATATATAAAAAATATAACGAGTGAAGCGTGGGGGTCACACCTTTTTTTATAATTATTAATAACGCGACAAATGATTCCTTGTCACTTATATATATCTGAATATACGCACCTTGAGAGAGTAAATTTGAGAAATTCTTTTTTTTTTTTTTTTAAAGCACCTGGAATTTATTTCACGGGTTAATCTCCTTTTGCGTATTATACGCGCTGAGGCTCGCCGCTGCTTTTCAACGTTAAAACGTACTCGTAACTCTCGCGCAAATTGATTTTCGAAATGGACATCCGTAGAGAGACCGTGTATGTCAGCTTAAATTTGTTATAAGCTCCGCGCACACTCCCCTCTCGTTTCGTTCATCTCCTCATATCCTGAAACAAATTTCAAAAGTAAATGATTTTCAAATAAAGAATAATATAATTTCGTATAAACCTTTTTGTTTACAAAATTAAGCCGAAAATAAAAATAAATTTAAAAAACATAATAAAAAATAAAAGAAGAGACAATTTTTAAATGCGAAATTACAAAAAACATAAAATTATAAAAATTATATTATATTATTATTTGTATATATCCGTATACCTTTGTCTTGTTATTTTTTTTTGTAATTTTATATTTTAATTTTGTATCTTACTTTTTGTATTATCATTTTTTATTCACTGTTAGTTTTTTTTTATTTTGTGGTGAAAAAAAAATTGTTAAACTTTGTAATAAGTATATATACACAATGGAAAAAAAAAATCATATCTACAAAAAAATAAAAATTATAAAAATAATATATCAAATAATAAAAATTATCAGAATAATATAAAATAAATAAATAATAATACAATTTTAAATAAATAAAAATTAAAATCTTTTGAATTTACAAAATGTGGTTTTGTTATCGTGTACTTGAAAATATATTTGATAGAAAGTTCAATAATTAAACTTTGTGATAGAATTTAAAAAAATTTCTGTAAATATTTACAAATTTTCAATATTATTTGCAAATTTATATATTTTATTATTAAAATTATAAAATAAAAATCGGAATTAGAATTGAATGAAATTGAATAAAATATTCAATAATTTTTTTTTTTTCAATAAAAAATATAAATTTTTGTTATTAAATTAGAATTTGACAAAATCTCAATTTTAACGAATTCTCCTGTATTACAGCATTTTAATTTTAAAAGAGTTTTCATTTTTTAAAATTAGAATTCAACAAAATTTCTAGTTAAACAAATTCTCATATTGTAGAATTTTTATACTTTACCAAACTTTCTTTGACGGATTATTTTTTTTGTTCAAAATTTTGTAATTCCGTAAATTTTAATTTACTATTAAATTATTTTTTTAAACACAATTTTCATTTCAAAGAATAATTCTAATTTACCTGCATTTTTCTTAAGTAGAATTTTCAATTAACAGAATTTATATTTATCCAATTTTCATTAAAAAGAATTGTAATTAAACTAAAATTATCATTATTAAGCAGAATTCTCATTTAATAAAATTTCAATTTAATTTAATTTTCATTTTAAAAGAATAATCTATAATTTATTCGGAATTTTCATTTAGAAAATCACGCGAATAAAAATTCATAACAAATTCGGTTTAATTAAAATTCTGTAAAAAGAGAATTCTACTAAAAAAAATTCTGTTAAATTAGAATTCCTTTAAATGAGTATTCGGTTAAATAAAAATTCTATATGAAATAAAAATTCAAACAAACGAAAATTTGGCTTAATGAAAATTAAATTAAATTAGAATTCTTTGAAATGAAAATTATATTTTAAAAAATTCTATTAAACTGAAAATTTACTAAACTACAGGAATTTTATTAAAAAAGAAAATTCTTGTTATTAAAATTTTAGTTAAGTAAAAATTCTATATGAAATAAAAATTCAAACAAATGAAAATTCGGCTTAATGAGAATTTAATTAAACTTGAATTATTTGAAATTCTGATTTAAAAAATTCTATTAAACTGAAAATTTACTAAACTGCAGGAATTTTAATAAAAAAAAATTCTGTCAATTAAAATTTCAATTAAGTAAAAATTCTGTTATATGAGAATTTGTTTAATTCAAAATTCTATATGAAATAAAAATTCAAACAAATGAAAATTCAATTAAATTAGAATTCTTTGAAATGAAAATTGTTTTAAAAAATTCTGTTAAACTGAAAATTTACGGGTATTTTAATAATAAAATTCTGTTAATTAAAATTTTAATTAAATAAAAATTCTGTAACAAGAATTTGTTTAAATAAAAATTCTGCCAAATACTAATTTGAGAAAAATCGGCTAAATAAATTTTTAAATAAAATTCTGTCAAAGGAAAAAAAATATCTAAAAAAAAAAAAAAAAAACAAGAAAAAAAGAGAGAAAAAATTACAATACCTGTGAGAATTCAGCTAAATAATCAATTTTTTGATCGATCAAAAATTAGATTTTGATTATATATTCACGTGAATAGCGCACCAGTCGCCTCTTGCAGGTTGTATTGGAAATAAAAGCATATGAAATCGAATTCGGATCATTCTCAGTCATTCCCACGTCAACTGCATAACAGAAAAAGCATTTCAAGTTATACATTTATACAAAAGATATATATATATATACAACAATGAACCATTCTGAGAAATGAAAAATAAAAAAAGATCTTTATTTCATTCACCTGTAGAATCGATCAGCAATATCGCGCTACTATCGCAATCGACGACTTTGGTATTATAAAATCTTGTAGATTTGATTAATCGTCTCCTTTCTCACATGACACAGGGTCATCCCTTCAGTTTGACTGATTCGTGGACAAACGGGTGTGGCTTGATTTCAACAAGATAAATGCTGCCTCAAAAAAGATTTTTATCTTTTCATTTCAAGATGAGGAGGGACACCTGCTGGAATTTCTCCTTCGCCAATATTTATATATATATGTGTAGACAAATTCTTAGAAAATTTTTTTCAAAAACATTTTCCCGTGACTTTTTAATCACTCTTTTTTTCAGCAAAAAAATTCTTATAAAATTTTCCAACTTCCAAATCTTGTTCCTAATCATAATCACATATTCATGAAGAAATAATAATCTATTCGATATTTATATATTTATAAGTAGATTCATCGTAAATCTCGATATTATTATTATTATTTTCATCTCGGTAGCAGTGTAATATTTATTTCAAGGTTGTTATGTGAATATGAATTATAGCTGTGTCGAAAAAATTTACTATGGTGGCGAGAAGCTCGTTAATTTGGAAAGAATTCGACAGTGTGCTTTGGAGAGAAAAAAAAAATGTGTTTTTTTTTTTTACGAACACAAAACTGAAAGGTGTTTTTTTTTATATTTATATATATATGAGACGACGAACTCATAAACCATTGGAGACTCTTTCTAAGAATATAATAATCTCATCACTCATATTTCTTTAACTAGAGAGATTGTTTAATTGGTGCGCCAAATCCTGAAACATAAATTTCTCTTGTTAATTCAATTATTATATTTATATTTATTTTAATTATTATAATTTACTTATTTAATTAATTTTTGCAAAAGAATCGAAAAAACTTCGATCGAAAATTCAGTTTAGAAAACTATTTTTCCAAATTTCTCTCTAAAGGTAAAAAAAAAAAAATTGTGAAAAAAAAATTAAAACAAAATTTTATATAAATTCAAAGTTGGGGATTCATCGAGAATCGATAAAATGTGGTTTTTAAAAACGTTAAGAAAAAATAATGTGTCAGATAAAATTATAAATCTGCTATATACAATATTTAAAAGAATTTCTAAATATTTTCTCTCAGGAATTTCGCACGATTAGAAACATTTACGAAAAAAATCTCTAAATGAGACCTTTTTTTAATTTTTTTTTCTTCAATTAAAAATGTCGATCCTTTTTTTCAGATTTTTAAAAAAATTTTGCAATTAAAAAAAAATTGAACAAATATTCTAAGAAATAATTTTATATAATATATTTTTTATATTTAAAATAATTGTGTATAATTTATATTTAATTTTATAAAAATTAAGTCAAAATTAACTCAATGAAAATATTTTGAAAAAAATATAAAGAAATGGAGAAAATAAATTGGGTAAAATAAAATATTTTTTTTTTCTTACTTTTGTTTTCTCTTCATAAAGATATAAAAAAAAAACCCCTTCCTTTCAATTTTTAAAAAAACCTATTCAAATAAAAAAAAAAACGAAATGCTGGAAATAATTTTATGTTTAGAAAATATAAAATATAAAAAATATATAATATATAGAAAATATATAAAATTAAGTCAAAATTAACTCAATTCATCAGAGAACATAAAATTGAAAAAAAAAATATATGAAGAAATAGAGAAAATAAATTTGTCAGCATTCCATCAGATTGTATATATATATATAAATGAATACACAGCTCAGTTTTGGAATTTCATTTTGAATCTTAATATTTTCTATAAGGTGGTCACAAATGACAAGAAGCGACGAAACGTGTGTGTTTGTACGCAGATATATGTAAATATATATAGTTTTTTTTTTTCCTTCAAAATGGGCCGATTATAATTGTTAATGCTACCATAAAGCAAAAAGCTAAGTAAAAAAAAAAATTAAAAAAAAAAAAAAAAAATGAATTGGATGGTCCAAGAGCTATCGAGTTGAATATCTGCGGGGGGTATTCCAGCCTTTAGGGCTCGAAATATAATATTTGTGTATATATGTGTGTTGTGAATGGTCCTGAAGAATAGCTTCGTGCCTTTTCGACCATTAACTGGCGCGCAGCATTAAATCATCGTTGCTGTCATCATCTTCGTTATCTACTGCCTCCATGATTCTTATATATACCATCTCAGTCATTTGTATTATTATCGCCGCGTCCTCAATTTCTACTCATTTTTATGACTCGATACTCAAGATTTACCGCGAATTTCTCATTTCGTATAAATGAAAAATAGAAGATAAATACTGAAAAAAAAACCTTAATAATTAAAGTTATTCGTAATTATTACAAAAATTTTTTTTTTAATTTAAAAAACTAAATCAATGCAGACCACGGATCGAATTTAAGAAACAAAAAAAAGTCATTTTAGTCGATTTCCAAAAAAAAGGCGATTTTAAATTATATATTAAATTCACTTTATTAATTCTGTAATGAGAATAATTTTATAAAAATATTATCAAGAAAATTGAATTCTATGTCAGAATCGAACTAAGGAAAAATTTTCAAAATTTCTAAAAAAAAATTCTTAAAGTTCTATTTTTTTTTATAATTTTTTGAAGTCTGATTTAAGCAATTTATTCGAATTAAAAATTTTGTCAGTTTTGATGGTGAAAAAAATTTCAGACAATAAAAAATATTTTTTTAAATGATTTGAATTTTAGAAGAGTTATAATTGAAATTATTAAATTTCAAAAAATTTTAGATTGAAAATCATTGAAAATAATTGCAATTTTTGGTAATAATTAAATTTCAAGTGATTTCGAATGAAAATTTTTTGGTAATTTTATTTGCTATAATTTTTTTAGATTAAAAAAATTAAAATAAAAAAGATTTGAAGAAGATCTGCATTGTATACTAAAAAAAAAGTCTTTTAATAAAAAATTTTGTAAAAAAAAAAAATGTAAAAAAAGTTGAAAACGTCGCATTTTATTAAAATAAGTCGAAAAAAAAATCGGAAAAAGTTGTATAATCCGAGGCCTATTTTTTAAATAATTTTTAAAATAATTGAATTTTAGTTGATTTTAAATTTAAATTTTAGAAGTTTTTAAATTGAAAATGTTGAAAATAATTGAATTTTAATTGATTTTAAATTGAAAATTTTGAAAATCACTGAATTTTAATTGATTTTGAATTGAAATTTTAGAAAATTATTGAATTTTCAAAGATTTACAATTTAGATTTTTGAAATTAATTGAACTTCAAGTGATTTATAATTAAATTTTTTATCATGATTTAAGTAAAAAATTTTTTATGTAAATTGCAGAAAAAAAATACAATAATTTGAAAACTTTTAAAGTGAAAAATGATTTTAGAAAGTTGAATTTTTGAAGAATATTTTTAAAAATCATTGAAAATAATTGCAATTTTTGGAAATAATTAAATTTCAAGTGATTTCGAATGAAAATTTTTTGGTAATTTTATTTGCTATAATTTTTTTAGATTAAAAAAATTTTAATAAAAAAGATTTGAAGAAGATCTGCATTGTATATACTAAAAAAGACGTATTTTATTAAAAAATTTTGTAAAAAAAAGTTGAAAAAGTCGCATTTTATTAAAATAAGTCGAAAAAAAATCGGAAAAAGTCGTATAATCAGAGGCCTGTCAATGTTTTAATTTTCAAACAATTTTTTTTCCTCTAATTAAATTATCCAATTATTTAAATATAAAAATTTTGTTTTCTCAAATATTCATATATCTAAAATATATTATCAAAACGAAAATATTTAAAAACAGGAAATAATTAAAAAGTAAAATAAAAAGAAATCTATGTGTGGAGAATTTTTTTTTTTTACAATGTAGTTGGTAATTAATAAAATTTAACGATCCAATATTGTGAACACACATTTCGATGATAAATGTAAGTCGAAAAAAAAATCTAATAAAATTTTAGTACTACTAATTTTATTTCACAAATTTTTTTTTTTTTCAAAAAGGCGAAGAATATCATCAATTTAGAAATTCCACCTTCTCTTATATTATAATGGTTTTGGAAGATAACCATAAAAAGGAGTTAAAAATATTTTCTCTCAGTGTATTTAATACTTTTTTAAAGTAAAAAGGAACTTGATCAAAAAGTAAAGATTTTTTTTTTCCAAAAAGGAGAGAAAAAAAAAAAAAAACTCTTGTCGACCTTAATAAGATGGGGATGTTTAGCGACAACCGGTTTTATTTTGACAACACAGAGGGACATTTAACGATCTATAATCCGGCTTGGGCTACCTACGAGTTGACACTGTTTTTGTAAAAAAATACCTGCGTGAGGAGGAAGAGAGGTCCGCAGGGTGTCTTTTGGAACGCTCAATAAATTCTAGTCAAGAATGGGCTCCTCTTGGAGGATAATCCGTTTGTTGTGTGTGCGATGAGCGTGAATCTGTTTGGTAACTAATTATATTAACTACGTTCGTTATGGCCTTTAACGACGCCTCGAAGTTTGACCCGAGAATTCAAGTTTTCAAGAAAGTCATCATAGTAATGAAATACGATCGGTGGATGGTAATAACGTTCTTGAGATAAAATCCCCCCCCCCAAAAAAAAAGAGAGAAAGAGAGAGAAAAAAGAGATTATTAAATCAAGATTTAAGTCGTCGAGACTTTCTTCGAAATTTGAAATCAAAATCTCTAATATCGAAGACATAAATGAAAATACCACGTATTTTTTTTTTCTCGAATCAATAGAAAAAAAATAACGATTCGATTTCTATGTTTATTAGCTAAGAAAAAAATTCCAAATTTCGAAAAATCAAACAATTTTTTTTTAATGTTAATTAATTAACGATTTTTTGTATCTATTTTTTTATTTAAATTTTTAAATTTTTAATTGAAATATAGAATTTGAAATTTGTTTTTTATTTTAATATTTTGTAAATTAAACCGGATATCATATATTATTTTTATTTTATAAATGAAAATTTAATTCTAAAAGACATAAATCTTATTTTAGTTTTATATAAATTCTGTAATTTAATTTCGCGCACACGATTCTCAATAATTAAATTATTCAAAAATCTCTAATACAATTAAATTAAATATATACTCTCGCGGCGAATATGAAACGATATGCAAACAAAATTTATCTCATTTGAAAATAAAATAAAATCGATTATAAAATAATATAATTTCACCTATAGAATTATTAAGAATTTTCGTAATTATTTAAAAATAATTAAAAATTATAAAATAAATTAAAAAATAAGACTTATAAAGAGAATATTTCAAAATGTTAAAAAAAGATTTCACAAATTTTTTTTAAAAATTCAGATTACTACCAGTAATAAAAAATTGATTCGAAAAAAATAATTATGAATTCCTTATCTCTCTTTCTCTTTCTAGCAGGGGAAAAAAAAATTTTTTTTGTTGGTCGCATCAGACGAGAAACGATTATTACAAGTGATAAACACGAAACAAAATGAAAGGCCACTTAGTGTCTTCTTTTGAGACTTATGTCCAAACACAAAAGAGGTTTAATGTCTTTCATAATTTTCCCGGTTTGAATATTAGGTGATTCGAGAGAGAAAAAGAAAACGATTAATGATGGCAAAAAAAAAAGAAAATAAAAATTTTTTAAATAAATTTTATGAATTCAAAATAATACTTTTCAACACAATAGAAATATATTCACTCCTGTAAAAATCAACAAAGCGAAATTTTTAGCGTTACTGAAATTTTTAATTTAAATACAATCCGAATTTACGGAATTTTCATTTAAACGAATTATTATTTCGAATTTTACTTTATAAATAATTAATTAAAAATTTAATCCAGAAATTTTATATTAAAACAGAAATTTTAAGTTGATAATTTATAGAAATTCGTTTAAATATAAAAATTTCGTTAAATAAAATAAAAAAAATTTCCCTAAAATTTAAGCTTGAATTTCCAATTGCCAATTTCCAATTTTTTTTTTTTTTAAAAGTTGAATTTAAAAAACTATTTGCAAAAAAAAAATCATATCCATTCAACGAAATTTTTAGTTCAATTAAATTTTCTATTAACTTGAATTTCTATTTAACCAAATTTTAAAATTATATATAACTAGAATTATTTGGAAATTCTGTAAAATATTAATTCTGCTAAATGGAAAATTTTGCTAAATAAGAATTACTGTTAATACAAATTCGGCTAAATAAAAGTTCTGTTAAATATTTTATGAAATTTCACAGTTAAATTAAAAATTCCGTTAAGTAAATTTTTTCGATAAAAACTTTGATTTTAGATCAAAATTCGCTTTTTAGATCAAAATTTTATTAAAAATAGCAATTTTGTCAAATTATCGAATTCCATCAATAATTGGAAATTATTCTTTAATAAAAATTCTCATTAATTAAAATTTTATTTATTATTTTATTTTACATTTTCTTTATCTGACTTTTTATTTAAAAGAATTTTAATTTAAAAGAATTCTCAATCAATCAAATTTTATGTGATTCAAATTTTTTTTTAAATGATAGAAATTCCAATTCACCGAATTTTAATTTGTACGAATTTTTAAAATTAATAGAATTTTCATAAAACGCCGAATGCCCGCGAATTTTCATTTGTCCGAAATTATATACAAATATCCAAATAAACAATCGACAGAAAGATTTTTGCGTAATTTTTAATATTGACCGCAATTACGATTTTCTTGATAATTTCTAATTTCTAGTTAATTTTACAAAAATGCGCCGAATTCTTTCTGTCGATTTTTCGTTCGGCTATTTGTAATTTAAGACAAAGAAAAATTCGGCGTCTTAAAAATTCGTACAAATAAAAGTTCAGACAAATTAAAATTCGGTAAATTGAAAATTGTCATTTAAAAATTCGAATCACATAAAATCACAATTTAATGAGAATTCAGTTAAATTACATAAATTTCTTTTTTAAATAAAAAAAAAAATCTTGTAAAGAAAATGATTGTAAAATAAAAATTTAAAAACAAAAATTCATTGTAGCTGAAAATTTTGTCAATTCAAAATTCGTATAAAAAGAAAAATTCTGTTAAATATGCTATAATTATGACAAATTCATTTAAAAAATTATTATTTCTAATAAATTGAATAAATTTCAGAGAAATAAATACATATGTAAATTATTGAGAATTTCAATAAAATTCGAAATGAATTTTTTTGAGAATGCCCTAGAAAAGATTTTTTAAAATTGATATAAGGACATAAATGCACCTCACACATTGAAAGATAATAGAATATTCTCTCTTTTTTTTTCTCTCTCTTTCTGTGGTTTTAGCGTGCGTGTGACTCTGCGGGGGACATATGTCACTGTCCCCATATCGCAAGGGCCCAAGTTGTGTGTATGTGTGTGTTCTTGTGGGCCTGCTGGTCACCGCATTCCACGTTTTTCCCCCCTACGAGCTTTATTATAGCTCTTGAACCATCCTGACACTCTCGTACGGTATCATCGCAGTTGGCTGCGCCTTTTATCCCTCACCACTTAGATAAGATCATGATCCTCTTCCTCTCATAGAATCCCTCTCCCTTCTCTCTTTCTCTCGTTCTCTTTATTCTTCTTAGTTAATTTTATCTTTCTCTCTCTCTCTCTCTTATTCTTGATATTATTTCATCTCTGCTCATCTCGCTGTGGTCGCATTTAGAATAAGAGGGAGACCCCACTGTGTTTGGCACGGCGGTGGGTATTCCGGGTACAACCTACCACTCGTCAGCCCACCCTCATATGCCACTGCTTGCTCTCGGGGATGACGATTGGATATGGAGAAGAATCAAAAAAAAAAAAAAAAAAGAGAGAGATAGAGAGAGCAATAAAAATCGAGACTGACATATTATAAAATAGCTTTCGCGGTTTTCTATACCGGGTGATATCATCGACAAGAATCCTTTTCTTTGATACATACTTGAATAAAAAAAAAAAAAAAAAAAAAGAGTATCAAGAGAAATTAAGAATGGGACGCATTAAAATTACTCTCAAAAAAATTGTTATAATTTTCACAGCGTCGATTTTGAAATAGAAACTCAATTTTTTTAGAATTTTTTACAGAGAAAACTATACATTGAAACTGAATTTTCATATCGAATAATTTTTTTATTTAAATGTATTCTTATTTAATATATTAATAGAATTTCTATTTATACGAATTTTTAAACAACTTTTTATTTCAATATTTTATTTCATATTATTTTTTATTCTAATTTTTATTTAGCAAAATTCTTTTTCAACAAAATTTAAAAGTGATATTTCACCAAATCTTCATTTCTACGAATTTTTAATTGATAAATTTCATTAAAGCGCAAAAAATTTCATTTATCCAAAATTACGAATGCGGCCAAATAAATAAAAAGAATTCGGCGCTGTTTTCAAAATTTTACCAAATTACAATTTTTCTTGATCATATTTACGATTGGTCAATATTTTAAAAATCGTGCCGGAATCTCTATATGTTGATTTTTTTATTTGATTATTTGCAAATTGCGGATAAATAAAGATTCGACGTTTTTAAAATTTGTGCAAATGAAAATTCGAATCACTTCAAATTCCTGTTGAATGAGAATTCTGCTAAATTAATATTCGGTTAAATCAAAATTTTTTTAAATTAAAAGCTGTGTAAGTATAGAAATTTAAAAAATAAAATTAAGTATATAGAAATTCAAGTAAATTGAAATAGAATTTTTTTGGAAATCCATTAAAATACGGTTAAATAAAAATTCTTAAATAAAAATTCAGTTTATTAGAAATTCTATGCTAAATAAAAATTCTGAATTAATTTAATGGAACAAATTTATCGATAGAAAATGTTATAAATATATATGTATTTATTATAATCAACTCGAGTGGATTGATAAAATTTTATTTCTTATTAAATAATTATGTAACCAATTTCCGATAAACTCGGGAAAAATAATATCTAATGTAATGTTTTTTTTTTTATTAGAAATAATGGAATAATTAATAATTTATTAATTAATTAAATATATCCAGTATAGATTAGTATACGAGTAAAATTATGTTTAACTCTCTAGCAATTTCTCTCAAAGTTTTCGATATATTTGAAGATCGATGAAGACACTAGAATGGCCTAATGTCTAAATTTACCCCACCATATTCTCGGCACTCTAATAACACGATTTTATTATCATCGATAAGATAACACGCTCCCCTCGTTCGAAGATCTCTCACCTTCGACATTATAACTAGTTATGTCATGATTTTATCTCTATATGATTGGGTCCTCTCTCGCCTCTTTTTTGATTTTACATTTTTCTCTTTCTTTTTGTCTTTCTCCATCTCATTTTTTTTCTATTAATGGCAAATGGCCGAAAAGCTTTTCTTTGAGCGTGAATTTTAAAATTCAATTTCAACATAAAGTTTTCTAAATTTTAAAATTAGTTTATACTGTTTCAAAATTAACGCTGAGAAAATTTTCATTCACAAGAATTTTATTAGATATCATTATTTTTTAAACGAATTTTTATTTTTCGAATTATCATTTAACAGAATTTAATTTTAAACTAATTTTTATTTGACAGAATTTTATGATACCAAATTTTTAATTGTCAGAATTTTTATTTCACATTTCTATTTTAATTGAATTTCTACTTAATTTAGTTTCTAGTTATTTAAATTACTAATTAAAATTGAATTTCAATGTAGACAGCAAATTTTGGAAATGACAAAAATTAATTTCGCCGAAATATTCAAAGTTCCACAATCATAATTTAACAAAAAATTCTTCTTGCATTAAAATTTTTGCAAATGAAAAATAATAAAAATATTATTTAGTATAAAAAATTGACTTTAATGAAAATGTAATTAAAATAAAAAATTCTATAAAATAAAAATAATTTATTTTTTTTATAGAAAATTGATTTTAATGAAAATTTTATTAAAATAAAAATTCTATTATAGTAAAAAAATTACATTAAATAAAAATTCTACAGTAAAAAATACATTAAATAAAAATATTAAATAAATATTCCATTATAGTAAAACCTGTATTGAAAGATTTTAAAATTTATAAATTCGGTTCAATGGAAAATTTATTAAAAAACGAAAATTCGGTAAATTAAAAAATTAATTTTAAATTTGTTATTTTTTCCAATTAGATATATTATTTTAAAAATATAGTATATATATATATATATATTTCCCAAATAAATACCTGAACTCCTTATCTGATTGGCCGAGACTATTTATGATCGCGAACCATTTGATTATAGTATTAGGCATCTTCTTCACATATATATAAAGCTTATTGCGATCTCAATAAACGCCTTCATCCCATCAGAAGAATCAGCATTCCTCTTCGAAATTCCATCAGCATGATAATTTCTATTAAGAAAAATATTATTTAATAATAATACAGAAATAATAAAAATTAAATTCAATAAAAAAAATAAGTATTAAAAAAAAATAAAATAGTAATAATAAAATAGCAGTAAATAAAATATTAGTGAATAAAATATTAATAATAAAATAATAATAATATAAAACTATGAATAATATTAACATAAAAAAAAAGAAATACAAAAGAAATAATAAATCGAAAAGTATAAAAAAAAATCTTTCAAACCTATCGAAAGAGTTCCATAAAGTGTTTTGTTTCCAAAGAGCCTCCATTAAATTCAACATACCAAATTAGTCACCCCGTGTCAATTTCTTCTCACAGACGACGACGACGGATTATTCAGCAAATATTTTCTGACCCGTTTAAAATTCATATGGATCAAAGAATTGAAAAAAGAAAAGAAATTATATATCGAAGGGGGTTTATTTGAGCCACGAGGTATAAGGCCTCCTTTTATCCTAACAAGATGTTTCACGGATCAGCATAGTGCCAAGGATCAGATGTATGCTTAGGAGGTCCTGGCCAGATTTCAACTCTCCTCGACTGACGAGCGTGGCAGGCAGAAACTCTGCATACATTAATAATTTCTCTCTCTCTTTATCTCTCTCTCTCTCGGCGCTCCCGTGGTTTCGAGCATGAATTTTCAAAAAGCGTATATATCCTTTGCCTTCAAACTAATAATACAAGTATATATATATATATATGTATATACATATAGTTGTTTATATATGTAAACTGTAAAATCATCTTGGTATGTCTGAAACAGAAAAAGATGTCCTATAAATTTGCATATATTCTCATGATTAACTACCAAACAGAAAATTCATTCATATTTTTATTCTTCTACATGCCAGGTGATTTTTAAAGACAATTTAATATCACATTTCATTTTATCAAGGACTGAAAAACAATAAAAACAATAAAATATTATAAATTTTATAATAAAAATTTTCAATTGACAGTATTTTATTATATAGAATTTATTTTTAGCCAAATTTCTTTATTTCTTCATTATTATTTAACAAAAATTCCATTTAATCGAATTTCTATATTACAGAATTATATAATTAATTAAATATACTTAGAATTTTCATTTTATTTTTTATTTCATCGCATTTGACAGAATTATTATTTATCCGAATTTTTATTAAACAAAATAGTCATTTAGAATAGAATTTAATTTTACAGAAAGAATATTAGAAAGAAAATTTTTTTCTACAGCCGAATTTTCGCATTTACTTCAAATTTATACATATATATATATATATATATATATATATATATATATATATATATATATATATATATATATATATATATATATATATATATATATATATATTCGACAGAATTCTTAAAACGCTGCAAATTTTTGAAATTTTCGAATAAAAATATAACATAGAAAAATTTTGGCACAAATTTTAAAATTGACTATAATAATCAAAATAATTAACAACGAAATTATGATCGATCAATATTCAAAATTTACACCAAAATCTTTTTTCTGTCTGATATTTTTATTCGCGAAAGTTCTGTCAAATAAAAATTCGGTTAAATTCGCGAACAAATAAAAATTCGGCTACATAGAAAAGAATTTTTTTCTATAAAATTCTTTTCATTCTGTAAAAGTTAAATTCTTTTGAAGTTTTGTAAAATTTTTTATAAAGTTTTTTTTAAAATGATTTTTAAATTTTTTACTTTAAAAAAAAAAAAATTCCCCAAATTTTCTGCGATAAATATATGTATTATTTTTTTTAATTTAAAAAAAAAATGTGTAATTACTTTTTTTCTGTGTAAAGTTCTAAGATGCGATTTTTTTTTTTTTTTTTTTTTTTTTTTATAGAAACGGAAATGACTCAATATATAAATGAAGGTGCGGGCAGGTAATATTTTCACGCGTCAATTTAATATATATGAGTGATCACCCGTTAGGCGCATATAAGCAATAATTTGAGCGTTATATCACCTATCGAACTAAAGTATTAGGCGGCGAAAGAGCGACATAATGACCTATCTTTTACTATACATAAAGATATAAAATTATTGTGGGTGCTTATATCAAGGGAATTCACAATCTATTGAAAACTAATTCAAATCAATTTATATACTTTAGGCGATTATTATTTTTTTTTTCATCTCTCTCGATTCAAAAAAAAAATCCCTTTCAAAATTTCGAATAACATTTTAAAAAAAAATTACTTTATTTTTAGAATTATTTTTCTAATAATGTCTCTTTAAATTGACCCTTAATAATAATTTTTTCTGTATTTGGAATTATTTTATAATTTAGCAAATAAAAAAGTAAAATTTTATTTTTTCCCCCTGAATTTAAATTTTTTCCTAAATAATACTAAAAATAAAAACTAAAAATTATAGTGAAGTGGAAAATTAAAAATTCGAAATTCGAAATTAAAAAAAAAAGATTATCAATAGGTTAGTGAAAAATTTTTCGTTTACACTGTTCAATGGCGGTTTTATCATTGAAAAATATTCAATTTGAGTGGAACATTTCGTTTGGTATCGATGTGTTGAAGATATAAAATTTTTGAGCGATAAGGGACATTTTTTTAAAACGACTCTGCATCATCGTAAACGAACGAACGAACCGCAGTATAGCGATTTCACAGGGTCGTCCATTAGATCTTTAATCCGCGGCGATTTGGGGCCAGCGCAGTTATATATATATAAAAAAGAGCGTTTGAAAAATTGCATGGCGATTTCATTAAATTTTCTACGGTCGACCTTCCCTCTTCCTATATATATATATATACTAAAACTGGCAATCTATCCCTTTTTCTATTTTCTATCTCTTTTTTTTATACTCAATACTTTTCGTATACGCTCCAGTATATACCTCGACGGATGAACGAATTTGTAACCGTATATATATATATCTATATATTTATTTATAAATCCCTCGAGAAATTTACTACCAAGCATTGAATGTGCGCGCAAAAACTGGACTTATCAGCACGCACACTTTTCCAATTTTAACATTTTTTTTTAGAAGTAAATTTTAATTATTTAAAATCAGAAATATTTCATTCGCAAAAATGAGGTAAATGCAATTATTTTTCAATTTCTGATGATAAATTTTTTAAATTTCCCACGAAATACGAAAAAAAAAAGAAAATAAAAACATTTTAAATCTATAATTTTCTACCCTAAATTCTTTTCACTGAATTTTTATTTAACAAAATTTTCCTAAAACAATTTTTATTTAACTGGAATAATAGTTATAAACAGGTTCCGATTTATTAGAATTTATTTATCAAAATTTTTCAGTTCCAAAACATTTTATGATTTTTAATTTATATATAGAAATTTCAATTTTTAATTTTAATGGAATTCTTATATATGTGTGAAAGAATTTTGCTCAATTTTAAAATATGAATAATTTCGATTATAATTTTTTTAATACTTACAAAAGTTATATAAAAATTAGATTCTCTTTTATTAACAAATTTCAGTTTAATTGTAAATTCATCAAAATAAAAAAATAAATAAATAAAAAGTACATTTAAATATAAATTTTGTGGCAATTCAGACTTTTTGCTAAATTAAAATTCGTGCCAATAAAAAATTGGCTAAATAAGAGTTTGGTTAAACAAAAATTTTGGAAAATAAAAATTTTTTTCATTTTAAAAAAATTGAGCTAAAATATAAACTTTGGCAAATAAAATTTCGAATAAATAAAAATTTTCTACGTTCAATGAATATTAGCCTAAATAAAACTTCGGTTAAATTAAAATTCAATTAAATAAAAATTTAACAAGTTAGAAATTTTGTTCAATGAATATTGGCCTAAATAAAAAAAAAAATTCTTCTATTTTCAAAATTGGACTAAATAAAAAATTCAGTTAAATAAATATTCTAAATTATGCTAAGAATTTTTTTTTTTAAATTCATTTAAATATAAATTCTTCTGTAATTATGGCTAAATAAAAGTTGTTTAACATATCAATTTTTGCTATAAATGAAAATTCGTGTCAATAAAAAATTGTTCAATAAAAAAAAAAAATTTTAACTAAAAATAATTTTTTTTCAAAAATTATACAAATCAATTTTAATTATATTGTTAGTTTTGTTAAAAACTACTTTTTACTTTGAATTTTGTGTTAAATTAAACCTCCTCAATAAAAATCCAATTAAATAAAAATAATTTTCAAAAAATTTCAAATTAAAATATCATAAATCTTAAAATATTAAAAAAAAAAAAACTTTAGGCATGAAATTTCAGGACAATATAAATACTATAAAAAAAAAAAGTTTTAAACGATTACTATGGGTAAACTTACGAAAATTTGTAGGTGGTTTTGTGGAGTTAAGGAGATAGACGAGGCGTGCAGAAAGTATGTTGGATCCACACGCATTTATAGTTGTGCGGCATGAGTCAAGTCACAAGGGGGTGGATTTTACAACCCTCCAAAACGGTGTATATAGTTTAATTCTCCACGGGGATCGAAATCAGGGATCTAATGTTTTTCCTGACTTTCAAGTCCCCAACGCACTTTCACTCGCTCGTAAATCATGGATTAAAGAGTCGTCGGGTGCGCGCGTAATTTGCAGCGCATACTTTTTTTTTTTTCTTCTTTTGACCATATAAACAGTTTAATCTCCTGTGATTTAAAAAGACTGCGATCTGTCAAAACAAGTGATTCTCCATGGTGAATTACTCAGGAATGAAAAACAATATTTATATCTCGTCACTATTTATCTCCTCTAAACTTTGCTTTTTGTCTTCAATCCAGATTTTTCACGCATATACCTAAAAAAAGGAGAAAAAAATTAAATATAAGCCAAAAATTACGAATATATTAATGGTATTTTTCATTTTTTCTAAATTATTAAATATAATTTATTATTTTATACTAGGAAAATTAAACGCACGCAAGCACGCCAAATTGAGTATTTAATTGTTTGTTATAAAGAAATTAAAGATTAATATTATCAATAATAATTTAATTTATTAGAATATTATTACATATTAAATGATAATAATGAAAATTATATGTTTACAGGCCTCGAATTATACGACTTTTTCCGACTTTTTTCAAAAATACGACTTTTATCGACTTCTTTTAATAAAATGCGACATTTTTTATTTTACATTTGAAAAAAAATGTAAATAAAATACCATTTTTTTAGTATAAAATGTAGATCTTCTTCAGATCTTCTTCAATTCAATTATTTAACAAATTTTGAACTAAAATGATTCTTCACTAAATTAATTATTTTTAATAATTTTAATGAAATACATCACAAATTCAATATCAAAATTATTATTCAATTAAAATTTTTATGAAATTTAACAATTGTTTATAACTTAAAAAAAAATATCACAATAAAATTGAATTATTTTTTAAAAATTTCAATTCAAAATAAACATTATTACCCGAAATTTTAATTCAAAATAAACTAAAATTCAATTATTATCCAAAATTAATTATTATTAAAATTTTCAAACAAAAATCAACTAAAAATAAATTATTATCCAAAATTTCAATTCAAAATAAATGAAAATTCAATTATTTTCAAAATTTTCAATTCTAAATCTTTTAAAATTTAATTATTTTCCAAATTTTCTATTTTAAATCAAATAAAATTAAATTATTTTCAAAAAATTTTAATTCAAAATCAATTAAAATTCAATTAATTTTAAAAATTTCAATACAAAATTAAACATAAAATTTAATTATTTTCAAAATTTTTAATTCAAAATCTTTTAAAATTCAATTATTTTCCAAATTTTCAATTTCAATTCAAATAAAATTAAATTATTTTCAAAAATTTCAATTCAAAATCAATTAAAATTCAATTATTTTCCAAAATTTTAATTCAAAATTAATTAAAATTTAATTATTATACAAAATTTCAATTGAAATTCAATTATTTTCCAAATTTTCAATTTGAAATCAAATAAAATTATTTTCAATAATTTTAATGAAATACATCACAAATTCAATTATATCAAAATTATTTTTTCAATTAAAATTTTTAAGAAATTTAACAATTGTTTATAATTAAAAAAATATATTTTTTTAATTTTCAATTAAAATGAAATAAAATTCAATTATTATCCAAAATTAATTATTATCAAAATTTTCAAACAAAAATAAACTAAAATTTCAATTCAAAATCAACGAAAATTCAATTATTTTCAAAATTTTCAAATCTAAATCTTTTAAAATTTAATTATTTTCCAAATTTTCTATTTCAAATCAAATAAAATTAAATTATTTTCAAAAAATTTTAATTCAAAATAAACTAAAATTAAATTATTACCCAAAATTTTAATTCAAAATCAATTAAAAATCCAATAATTATCCAAAATTTTCAATTTAAAATTTAATTATTTATCAAGTTTTCAATTTAATATGAAATAAAATTCAATTATTTTCTAAAATTTCTATTCAAAATTAATTATCCAAATTTCCAATCAAAAATGAACTTAAATATTAAATTATTATCCAAAATTTCAAGTAAAATTCAATTATTTCCCAAAATTTTCAATTCAAAATGAACTGAAATTCAATTATTTTCCAAATTTAAAATAAAAATTAAATTTCATTATTCTCAAAAATTTGAATTCAAAATTAATTGAATTTTCAATAATTTAAATTTAAAAGCATCTAAAATTTAATTATTTCTAAAATTTTCAATTGAAAATTTTTTTTTTTGAAATTTAATAATTTAAATTAGAACTCTAAGGAAATTCAATTATTTTTAACTATTTTAATAATATTCTTTATTAATAATTCAACTATCTGAAACCATTTTTCAATTAAAAATGATTTTCAAATTATTGTCTTTTGTCCGGATTTTCTAATAAATTTTTAGTGAAATCATCTAAAATTTTAATTAAAAATCACTTAAAGTTTCAATTAATTTCAAAAATCTCAATTTTAAATCTTTGAAAATTCAATTAAATTTAAAAAATGTTTTCCAAAAATTGTTTGATAAATTATTTTTAGTTCTGTAAAATTTAATAATTGGTTGAAAATTAACAATATCTTTTAAAATTTAATTATTTCTAAAAATTTCAACTTTAACCCTTCGAAAAGGATTATTGTTTGATAAATTATTTTTATTTCTGCAAAATTTAATAATTATTTGAAAATTAACAATATCTTTTGAAATTTAATAAAAAAAAAAATTTTTCTAAAAATTTCAACTTTAACCCTTCGAAAGGGATTTTTATTAAAAAAAAAATTTTATTTAAAAATCTATAAAATATTTTTGTTAAAATAAAAAACAAATCCACTTTTTTTTGGAATATAAATCGACTGAAACGACTTTTTTGTGTCTTTAAGTTGATTCGAGGCCTGTATTTTTATAATTAATATTTAATAGGTATTTGTTGGCCCCTGGTACCTTAAAAATTAATTTTTAAAAATAAATTTTTTTCAAATTTCTATCTTGTACGAAATTTCCTGGCGCATCTTTTTTCTCATCATAAATTTTTTGTATTTGTATAAAATTTTTGAATGAATATACAACTTTAAAAAAAATTTCGTTGGTAAACATTGTGTACTTCAGCTTCGTGAATTGAATTTTCGAATTTGGAATTTTAAAGAAACTTATTCCGAAATTTGGAAACACAATTATACAACTTTGGTAAAAAATAAGAAAAAGAATTGTCAAAATTTGACACGTCATAAGATTACTATTCAAAAAAACACGTGAAATCAGAAAAGGCCAACTTCAAGTTAGAACAGAAGGACAGACCAAGCATTTTATTATTATATAATTTTTCATTTTTTCTAAATTATTAAACATAATTTATTATTTTATATTATTAATTAATTAAACTTTAATTTCGATTTTCAAAGAAATGGAAAATTTAAATTTCAAATATAAAAAACGTGGAATTGTTTAGAAGTATATAAATTGAAAGATAATGAAGATTTCTTTCTGAAGAGTAAAAAAAAAAAAAAATAGATCATAAAAATGAGTATATACAATAAATAATGGTTATTGAGTTTAATAAAGAATCGCGCTGAGGCATTATTATGAGATAGAACCACGTAATAATGTTATCATAAAAGAAGTTACTTTCAAGTTTATGAGAAACTTGTAAAATGACGAGACAAGTTCGATGGCATCTCTTATCGCCTGCAGGTGACGCGCTACTCTCTTTCTCCCTTTTTTTTCTCCCCCTCTCTCACTCTTTCGAAGGGAACTTTTTAAATTTGTCAATTTAGCCGGCGGTTTTCTTAACGATCGCATCAAGGGCGGAGCTTTCGCGCGCAAGAGAGAAGGAAGAGGAAAAAAAAAAACCGCCGGGGACCAAGGAAGTAAGCCATACTTCATAATTTTATATTTTTTACAACGCGCAGCTTATATATATATATACTGTTCAGGAGTATTGCGCGCATATAGCGTTGTCCGTCGCTTAAAAACGTGAGCTCTCAACTCGGCAATTTTTTTTTTTTTTTTTTTTGCAAATTTAAAACGAGAGTCGCCGCATCCTCGTTTTTAAAGAAAACGAAGCAAAAGGGTCGATGTAAATCGGTACGTCACGGACAATTTACCTCAACGGATTTGCAGAGGAAACTTAAGATTTGCTTCGCTTCAGTTCCTCAAATTGTGTAAAAACGAAATAATAAAAGAAAAAAAGAACCAAGACACTTTTATATAAATATAAATTATGCAATTGTGGACAAAAAAAATCAGCCCTTGTCAAAAAAAAAAAAAAAAAATGTCGTTTAGAATAAAAAAAAAAAAATCGGTCTCAAATTCTAATTAATAAATTTGCTAATAAAATGATAAATAGACTAATAAAAAAAGAAAAATCGCAAGAATCGCAATTCTTTAAATTGAAAATTCTAATATTTTTATGGAATAATCGAGGACCTTTTTACTAATTTGAAAAAAAAAAAATGAAAATTCTGATAAAAAGAAAATAATTTTTTAAAAATAAAATTCTTCTCAAATTCTACCTAATAAATTTGCTAAAAAAAATAATAAATAAGATTAATAAAAAAAAAGAGAAAAATCACAAGAAAATGATTCTTTTATAAATTTTTTTTTCCCTATTCACCAATATAAATGTATTGCGGACAATCCCAGAAATTGCAAGTCAACTCCCACATTTTGAATGTGAGGGTATCTCGATGCGCGCGTTGTGAAATGGAAAAGGGGATCGCGCGCGCGAGAGAGAGAGAGATATATAATGTGCGGATTCTCTCCGTCTTTGCATAAAGACAGTTGGTACAAAAGGTATATATCGTTGTGGTTTGGGTATATATGGAAGTTGTCGGTAGGAGGAGGATATTTCGTATGCCACACAGACATGACAACATGCTGCGTTATCAGAATTATTGCGAGCCGGTAACCAATACCAGGGCTAATGCGGCGCGTTAACATTCGTGGGGTGCGCTCAGTTTTCCTCTATATATATATATATGTATCCACAAGCTGTGGCCTGGTGGACGGTTCCTCTCTGCTCGCGCGCGCGGCCTCTTCGACCGCAGCAGAGGGTTGTTGAATATATCCATATATATATATCCACAAATATATATCCTCTTTCTCTTTCTCCATATTGCCTCTATGCACGTTCGCATATGTCGCCAAATTCGACTCTATATGATATTACCGTCCTTTTCTTTTATATATACGTTTCCTATTCATTCTTTCGGATTCCGTCAGCTTGCCGCTTACACATAGATAGCCATAAGGGATACTCTATTTCTGATTTCTTTCATATATTTATATATAAATATAAAAATATACCTTTATATATATATATATATATAAAGGCACGTC